GCATCAACAGCTATTTTCAGTCTCCGAACCCAGCTTAACGAAACCTTTTGACTATTTGAACCTGGAAACAAAACATCAAGATCGAACCAGTGTGTATTTTTAGCAGATGAGATGAACATATTTAAAGGATAAGCATGAGCATGTTAAGTCTTTTATTCAAGAAAAAGGCATACCATGGAGGTGATCAGCCAGTGATCCACCAGGTAGATACTCATAGACTAGTATCTGCTGCTTTGATTCATAACAAAATCCTTCCAAGCATACAAGATTTTGATGTCGAATTTTCGACAAGAGATGAACCTGCAGGCATGAGAATAACAACTCTTACTGGATCAAGGAAAAATGAGTCACACTGAAATAATACTTAAATATGATCATTTATCAATGGTCTAGATGATTGCATAGAGCCTTCAGTTAAGTTTCATCAAATGAATACCTAGAAATTTACCGAGCTCACACTGATTTATGGGTTAGGCAAGGAAATCAGAGAGAAGTTTAATGATAGACCTCATTAATAAAAGAGTCTGCACCCAATTGAGTTCGATCGAACCGCACTTTTACAGCCACCAGTTTGCCATCTGATAGCTTTCCAAGGTAAACAGATCCGAAGCCACCACGTCCTATGACTTCCTTAAAGTTGTTTGTAGCTGCTTTTATTTCTTTGTAGGAAAATATTTTCGCGGCATTCCAGTTTCGCATATCAATTTCTGCACCTGAATCTGAGAAAAATGTGCATATATAAACCATGTTGTCAATTTTCATGGTAACAATGATGTAAATAACAGTTACATACTTGTAGTATATGCGGCTTCAGTTTTCCTTTTCTTTATGTAGAACAATACTGAAAGAGAAGTGAGAAGCAGAACAAATACAGCTCCCCCAGCTGCACCAAGTATAATGGCCAAATGTGTATGTCGAGTGTTCTTCCTATTGCTAATAATAGTAAATTGTGGTGTCTCATTTGAAGGATTCAATGAGGCATCGTTGCAAGCCATTGTCGAGAAGGAAAGGCACAAATTCCCTGATGTTCTGCACAAATGTTTATCCATTCGGACGCATGAATACATATTATATATATATATATATATATATATATATATCAGAGAATAAAAGAAAAAGAATATCAGAGCCATACCTAACTTCCAAGCTTTCTCTGTTCAAAGATTGGGGGAGAGTACCTTGCAGTTTATTATTCTCCAGGTTGCTGAATAATGGATTAACACAGTTTTTCATTCAGTTCTTCAGAAATTACAACTGTATTTATGGAAGTTACTTACAGCAAATGCAGATTCTCTAACTCTCCCAAGATTTCTGGAACCATTCCCTGTAAAGTGTTATTATGCAAGTCCCTGCGTGTAGAAAAATTATTGTGTGAGAAAATATAATAACCTTGGAGTGTACAATCTCAATCAATAGTTAGAGAGGAAGCAACTTACAGAATTTTAAGGTTAACCAAACTGTTTAAATCGGAACCAAAGGACGTTAGCTGATTGAAACTCAGATTCCTGAGAATTTAGTGAAGATATATATTAGTCTTTGCTACATGAATGAAGATACTAATAAAAGGTGAATGATTTGACCAAAATTACAATTTCTCAAGATGCTGCATGTTGCCCAGATTTTCTATTGCTCCTGAAAGTGATGTGTTATGCAAATCCCTGGAGGAGAATGAAATATTTATTTAGAGAATGCCGTATTATTAAGAATTAAAGAAAGTTCAAGATATTACAGTATTCTTAGATCCAGCAGGTCACCAAACGTTGGACTAACTGATCTCAAGTTGATGTCTGAAAGGTCCCTAAGAGAAAAATGATAAGCCCATATGAGTAGTTAGCCGAGGTAAAACACGAAAACCATAAGAATACAGTTCAGTTTGCACATACAATGATGTTATTGTACTTCCTTCACAGTCAATATGATCCCATGGAGTTGGGAAGCATGGATCATCTTGCCACCCGAGATCGAGACCGGTAGACTGCTCAATAACTTGAAGTGCTGAAACTGTAGTTGAAGAAGCCTCTGGTGGAATATCAACAATTTCATAGACCTCAACTGCACTGATTTGAGGGTAGAATTTGATTCTCTTAAGTGCAATATCCAGACTGGTGATTCCCTTTTGTGTGAAATATCGAGTACTGGCTTCCGAGGTCATTATAGTGAATTCTGATTGCTGAACAACCCCATTGATTAATATATCGAAAGAAGCAGAAACTGGAAGAATGTCAGCGAAATGGAGGACAATATAGTAGTCCCCAAACATATCTAGAGGTAAGTTATAATGTAAGACATCTTCTCGTGCGAGAACTCTAGCAGTCTGCAGCACGTCCAAAGGAGGGCTCTCCTTTAGACTTGTTAAATTCAAGCCAAGAGGAATGTGGAAGCCTGGTGAGACATGAAAGGGTGAGTAACCTTGATCAGCATCCCAAACGCGGTCGAACGGATCTTCAGGGTACCTGTTTTTACCGAATTTAATTGTAAAACATTGTAACAGAATACAGCAGTTATAGATTGAGAAGGGTTGTTAAACATTCTTACCTCAGTGATCCATTGGTGTAACCACTATTGATCCGATAGCGCTTACGAAGTGATTTGTTCAGGAAACCTTCCATGCCACTTCGATAAGCACCTTGAGGAAGTGGCCGAACTTCTAGCGAAGAAATAACAGGCAATCCACCCTTCGGAATAGCGTGCAAGCAAAATGAGAGTGTTACCTTAGTCACTGGCCATAAGAACTCTTCAATCCAGGGATCCTTGTTAGTTAGGTTCACAGTACTAGTTATAGCTGTCCCAAGAGAAACTAAGAAAGCCGGAGGCTTCCAACGTCCATCATAGTTCTTATACATGAATCGAGCTCTAACAAGAACCACGGATGATACATTTTCCACTGGTAGTTTATAGCAATTGCGAAGTTTAGATTCGGGGAAAAATCGAAGTGGGACACTGGATGAAGAGGTACCCAAATCCTCAACATAGTCAATGGTAGTCACATTGCCTGTGTTTATGAATTCATCGTCTGAGACCCATGTTAACTTAGATGAGTCCACATAAGTCATTGCTCCACCACAAGTTAAGCTCAAGAAACCTGTCTCGTAGAAAATCAAATGTAGATAAAAGCTTTTAAAAACAAAAGGAAGTATAGCTAAACATAAAAAGCGAGAAACATGGATAAATTCAGCTGAGCATTTACACAAACATGAAATGACCAAATTACACATACCATCTTGATCACAGAAAACAACAACCCAAATTCCAAAGAACAAAATCAAGCTGACACAGAAGCAGTTCAGGGCCATAGAATCTACTAAGAACCTGAAGTGACCGTACTTTGAGTAAAAACATAGTTGGAAGCTTTAATGGGAATAGGATTAATAAGAGTAATTATCAAGTTTGCATCATTGGTAGGGGGTGTAAAAGTTGAGGAGCGGAAGTGATTGAGTAAATAGGACTGCAAGTAATGATGATTAAGGGGTCTGAAGAAGTCAAGAATGCCAAAGGTTCTGGATCGGTGATGATTGTTTGGTATGATATATGTGCCATCTAACGCCACTACTGCCACCATCGATGCAACTATTAGCACCCAGGATTTAAATACGGTCGTCATCAAAATAATGAGCATTACATAACTGTAAAGATATAGTTTAAAATTATTATTTTACAATTATAATATCTGTAATAATCATAATAATATTTATTATTATTAAAATCGTGATAAACGTAATATAAAAAAAATAAAATCACTGTAACAGTGTTAAAAAGCAGATTAAAAAATTGGCCAAAACTCAATTTAAAATGGAAAATGACGTAGTTAACGAACAAGTCAACACTTATATTTTATTTATCTTTCACTATATTTCTTCTGGATTGATCTTTGTCCTCTAAGTCGGCCCAAAATATATTTATTTTTTAAATTTATATTAATCTCTGGACTAAAACATTTTTAACAAAAATATGTCACGTTAGATATATTTTCTAGAAGATATTTACACTTTTAAAATATAACAACTAATAGAATTCAAGACTTGAATTTGATAAGTCGAATTCAATATTTTTTAAACTTATTAATTCAATATTGTAAAATTTTTATAGAATAAATAAACAGTGTTGAAAAATCTTTTAAAGTATTAACTAGTAAAATATTGGGACCGTATGAGTAGAGATGCATTCATATGGGGAAGTATTAAAGCAAAAACAAGGGTCCAATTAAGTTAAACTTGTGGGCCATGTAATGCCGAAAAGAAAGCTCGGCGGACCCACGTCAGTAGTACAAATGATGTCTTTCGGTTCAACCTTTGCTTCCAGATTGATTCTCAACTCAAAGTCGGTCATGAAAAAGGAGCTCTGAATCAGATGTTCTCATACCATGTTTTCATTTTGGATTTTAAGTCATCCCATAGACCCACCAGTAATTGCAAATCTGGCATTGCTGTCATTGACATACTTGCTTCAGGCTTACGTCAACGTCAAATTGTAGTAGTATACTATTTCTCAAGCAAGTGATTCGAATTCCGTTACACAACCACCCAAAAATATAAATGAAAAAAGACCACCAAATCTAAGGTTGAAGATGTTAGAGAAACCTGTTACACTGAAAACTCTGTAAAAAAAAAAACGTACAGTGACCCATGTGAATATGGCCGCGCACACTCCCACACAACAAAGGTCTTCTTCCGTCTCCCATTGATGTACCACTCAATTAATGCCTCACTCAGTTGACAAACTCAGCACCTTTAGTGCTTCACCCATAAAGTTTCAGAGAGAATCTAAAATGGGGTTGAAAGATAATTTAAGTCCATTTCTGGGACATAATGTTTGGAAACAATATGGAAACATGTCTGGTTCTTTGTATTAGAAATTTAACCTAGCCTGTTCAGTTGTCTTGGAAACATTGAATTGGAGCAGATTCAGCAAAGACAAATTTCATTTCTTTTGTGTTTTGAAATAAATTTTATAGTTTGATGCATGAACAGCAGCCAATCTTTAATCCAAGTTGCAGGTGAGTTACTAATGACTAGCATTTATTTCCAGAGATCATCCACGCCCATTCCAACAAGAATATAAACAAAAGTGAAGGAAAACTACATGGGATGGGAAAAAAGAACAGGAAAACGAAAACCCAGAGACATTGATCATTAATGTACTCCTAAACCAGTTACAATAATGAAAAAGAGCAGCAAATTACTAGCTGACTAATCTTTTTTTCTTTCTCTTTGAACATTAGATTTGAGGTTTATAATTTTGTGGCTAGTGTAACTCGTCAGCTCTGTTATGTTGCAGATCTTTAAATTATACATCTTAGTCAAGGCTCAATCAATCCTTACATCAATGGGGGTCTCGGCTTACTGGATTATTTTCACCCATTCGTAACGCCCGGGAAGGGGCAAATCATTCGCAATATCAAAGTTATACCTGCAGGAAACCGGCACATATGTTCATAAGACGGCGGTCAAATTTAGATGATTAAGACGAACTCTGAAATGAACTTACTTCTCGATGAATTGCCGCTGCTGTTGCTGTTCTGTACAGACGAAAAACTCCTCCACTTCCTGTGCCGTCGGGATGAATGTCTGCGCATTGTTCCCCGGCCCTTTTCGGTGAGTTGAAAGGGAGCTTCTTGGTTTAGTGGTCGAACCCGGAGCTGCAACGGTCTCGAAGTCATTTAGCAAACTACATGATGAGCTTTCCCTAGTGCTCCTGCATGAAAAGAAAAGTACAAGTTATGTAAGCAAAAACAAATTACCACTTGATTATAAACAAAAGCGAAGTAATATTATCATTAAAACGGAAGAAAAACCCTCATATAATGAGGAGACTGGCTTAGGTTTGGCAGGGAACAGACCAGAACCACGGGATAAGAAGCGACAAGTTCGCCACCTTTTGTCACTTATTGCTGCTACACAGAGAATCCTACATTCATGTCTGGAAATAGGCCCCGTGAATACAATATTCCATTGCTAACACCTAAGCTATATCCCATCTTTTTAAACTACCAAAAACTAGACAGATTTGCTATTCAGCATTGCCAAAGATTTTTTTATTTTTTCATAGACTGCATTATTAGCAGAAGAAACACAAGCAAGCAAAGGATTGCAATCCGGAAGATCAAATAAAATGTATTTTTTTTCTCCTCTTTGTACAATGTACTGTCATTTTCCCCTATAGAAACCTAACCTGCTCACCTAATATTCTTCAATTGAGGGCAAAAAATCAGTCAATATTTGAACTTTTTTAAAATTATTTTCATAAATCAAAAGCAAAACCAGAAAACAAACATGTTTTTATGGATTTTTTTAACGTAAAGAAGGTACCCTATTCTTAAAAACAAAGCAAACGAGTAGAACATACAACAGAGAGAACCTTACAGCCAATATGTTCAAAAAATATAGGGGGGAAAACTTTGAAACTGCAAAGAAAACTCGTGTAAGCTAAGCAACTGAGGGATTTTTCCAGAATAACAGAAATCGGAACAATGCTGGACAAGCTCCCAAGCGCTAAAGCCAAAAGGAAAAAAAACCATTTTAAAAGAAAATGTCAAAAGAGAAGAAGAAAAGCAGACCTGTCTCTGTGTTCTCTAAAACAAGTCTCCTCTGTTGTTCCACAACAATTCCCCACCCCAACAACAATTTCACTGTTCCCAAAACACCCTTCACTCTCCTTCTTCCTCTCCCCTTCCCCGAAACCACTTTCCTTCCCCTCTTGTCTCTGTTTCGTCTTATTCGAAACAGGGGAAGCCGTCTTCTCCAGCCTACGACTCCTCAACTGAAGATAAGAAAACGAAGAGACATCCGGGTTCAAACCAACACCATGTGCCGGCGAACCAGAAGGAGCTGTTTTCGAAAGCCTTTGCAAAGCTAGAGTCTTGGCAGCTCTGGTGCGTGTCCCCATTGTCGGCTGACGAGAAACTTCCATCACTACAATGTCACCTGTTATCTTAGATTTCTTCATGGAACCTTTTTTTCCCCCACACTTTTTTTCCAGTGAGAAGTATGGAGTTTAATGTTGTCTCCGAAGGAGTTTGTAATGGGAACGTGGGGAATGTAAAAAAAAAGGAGGGGGCTTTCTTCTTCATAAACAGAGGAGGGGGAAATGGAGGGACCAATTTTTTAGTAATCTGACAGTGAAAAGGAGGGGAGGAAGAGGGAAAATATTAGGATTTGGTTCAGGCAAACGCTGACACTTCTTTTTAAGTTTCTCTCAATCAATGATATTTGGATTGGCTAGTCTGGCAGCCATATGTGGGCAAAGTTGGCCCATATATGGGTTTTTTATTTAGCTTAATAGGTAATTAAAATTTTATTTTGGATCTATAATATTGTTTAAAGTTACATTAAATTCATCATATTGAGATAACGAATTTTAATAAAATAAAAATTTATTTTTATTTTTTATTTTAATATGATATATTTTAATAATAAATTATATTTTATTAAAACTCATCATTTTAAGATGACGAGTTTAAATAAAAAATAATTTTTTTATTAAAACTCGCCACCTCAACATAATAAGTTCTAATAACACTATAAAAATACTGTAGATCTCAAAATATAAACCGAGATATCGTAATGAACTAAACAAAAATCGGTTATCCCAAAAAAGCCACCCCATGGGCCCTTTCACTTTTTTATTTTATTTTATTTAACATGATCTTTATTTGATTTTAAAAAACTTTCAAACTATTTGTATCCAATATTTTTTATACAATTATTTCTTCAACTTTTTTACAATTAGTTACTTAATATTTTTATATTTTATATTTATTTTTTTATAAATATATAATAAATATAAAGTAATATATATTCAAAAATTCTCAATCATTTAATGATGAACACTCGTATCATTAAATATATGATACTCGAATTTGAGACCTTATGAGAAAATAATAAATCTCTTAGCCACTGAATTATTTGGCTTATGTGTATATATTTATAATGGAAAAAATAAGTATATACTTTTACTATTAAAATTTATATATCTAGTTTTATTTTTAAAAAAAATACCGCATTGTATATAAATACTCAAATTAAATATTAAAATTATATTTATCTTAAAATCTATTAAATTTATAATATGGGATAAAAGTCACCTATACAATACGAAACTTTTTAAGTTTTACGTATTTTTTAGTATCATTGGATGAGTGAAAACAAACTATTGGGATTATCTTCTTATATTTTTTCATTAGATATCTTCTCATTTTCTACATTTAATCTTAATTGTCTATTTTCATTCATTTAAATATCCTAAAATTGTATAAACTAAAGAAAAAATAAAATTGTATAAGTGAAACATGCCTTGTATATTATTTTTTTTATAGATAAACCATATTTAGACAAGAGAAAATAACTTCAGTGATAAAAAATGTCTTATAATATACGATTTTAACCAATTTTTTTTGGATTTGCAAAACGTTTTCATAACGCTAATTACCGATATAGGTAAACACAACTATTCGCAACTCAGTTTTCAAATTCGCAACTCGAATTCGTCAATTTCGCAACTCAATTACCGATATAGGTAAACAGGGCAAAAAAATCCGGTAAAAAATCTGAATTCGCCAATTTGAAAACTGAGTTGCGAATTTGACAAATTCGTGTTGCGAAATGTAAAATTTCGCCTCTTAAAGAAAAAAATCATTTCGACAGTTCGTTTGCTTGGTTAAAGTTAAACAAACGAACGAACATGAACATACCCTCGCTCGTGTTTGTTCAATTCATTTATAGACTTAGGTTTAGCTGAGTGATTTATACGTGGACTTAGCAACTGAGATGTTTTGGTGAGACGTGTGACCACCATATTGAACTAAAAAAATCTTCTAATCATATTAAACTAATTGTGTTGACCTATAACGGTAATTGAGTTGCGAAATTGGAAACTGTGTTGTGAAATTTGAGTTCGCGTTGCGAATTTGTTGGTTATTTTCGTAAATCCAAAAAAATTTGGTTTAAATCGTATATTATAAGGCATTTTCGGTCACTGAAATTATTTTCTCTTTAGACAACTTATCCATGAATGGCATCAGTAAGCAATACATCAACAATTTACTTTTTCTTTTATTTCATTCATTGTATTCTTATTTTTTTTCTAATTTATTCATTGAAATTTCGAATTGCTCTTGTTTTGGTCACTTTGAAATATTTTATTATTATTTTGGTATGACACGCCATTTATTATTATTATTATTTAATATAAAAATAATTTAAAATAAAAAATAAAAAATATGATGGTCGTTCACTGTTTTTCGATATTGGATGTTACTGTTGACGGTCGTAGATGGTGGTTGTTCGATCTTAGATTTTATCGGTCGCTTCCGACCTTTATTTTTTCGAAACATGTTCTGAATCCGATCAAATGTGATAAAATCGAAATGTCAACTATCATCAACCACCTTAGATGGTGGTCGTTCAGTCTCATATTTCAAGGGTCGCTTCGTCTCGACCCATAAGTGTGAATCTGACATCCATTTTGTTGGAACATGATCCGAAGCCCACAAATAGGAGATCAACAGTGAGAAAACCAAAATGTTTCAATCGATATTCACAGATTTTAAGACATTTTTCGATTAAACAACTATTACATTCAAACTCATCATGTCAAAACAAGTCTCTCGGATACAATTTGGGATCAAACGGTTACCAGTTGTGAAGTCCGATAGTGATCGACGGTGACAAAAAAGGATGGTGATGATGTTGCAAATGGTGGAAAAGTGAAAATATTATTTTATTATTTATTTTAAATTATTTTTTATATTTTAATAATAATAATAATAAATGTAACATCATAGAATAATAATAATAAAAAAATAATTTGTATTGATCAAAACATGAGAAATTCGAACGAAAGAGAGTAATGTTTCGTGAAGAATGGTATAGTTTACTCATTATATATAGATGATATTAATTATTAAATTAATATAGACATAATAGAATAAGATTGTGTAAAATAATACGAGTGTATGATATTTAACCTAATAAACATTGAAAATATATATTTTAAAAAGATATACTTATGTTAAAAGATATACTTATAAAAGTTTAAAATAAAATAAATTTATAAAATTTTAGAGGATAAAAATATATTATCCATAAAAAGATAAAGAAAATCTAAAATATATAAGAATTTAAATTTTTTAGAGGTTGATCGACTGTCTCTTTCGATCCATCCTTGTATATGATTACTCAAATTATTATTTGTATTTTTTTATAATATTTCACGTTACATATATAGTATACATTTTTAAAGTGTATTTTATCAATTATTAGTTATAGATATTAGTTAAAAGTAAATATTAATATTTTGTAACCATGCGAATTAAAAACTTTAATATTATATAACAACTCATTCATAATTTAGAATTTTCAAATTAAAATATTTTATATTTAAATTATCTTTGTATGAAATAAAAATAATGTGAGAAAATGACTTTTTTGTCCCCTTATTATTGGAAGTTAATGTTTCTCCAAAGGAGGCAACAGACAGAGCAGAGGCAACCCCCCACCGATTAAGGGAGAAGCGCCATTTGGATTTGGTTCCTCGTTTTATACCTAACCTCTGCATAGCTTTTTGTTTTTATTTTTGGATAAATTATGTGGATGATTTCTTATATTTTTTATCTGAACGATTTTATTCATCGGTTCAAAAAAATAGTGATTTTGATCTCTTATGCTATCGTTTCCTTCGATTTTAATCTATTAACCGTTAACTCTTTAATGAAAATGTTAGTCTCTTAACCGTTAACTCTCGTTGACTCCTTAATGAAAAAGTTACTCCCTCAACCATTAACTCTCGTTAACTTATTAACAAAAATTATATTAATTAGATGATGACACAGGTCATCATATTAACATGCGTTACCATTAGGTTAATGAAAATAAAAAAACATTCGGTTAATCGAATAAATTTATTAAATTAAATTAAATTAAGACTGAATTGATATAACATATAAGTAATAAATAATAAATATGTAATTATACAAGTTTATTTAACCGACATATTGATATTTTCATTAATTATTTAACTAGTTAAACGGTTCGATTAATAAAATTTTCATTTTAATAGTCAAAATAAAACCCACTATAGGATAATGACTACTTAAGTAATTTACCCTTAAATCTATATGCAATCATGAAAAAAATCAACTATTCGAAAGATTCTCTCATGTCTTTCCCTCTATTTTGAAAGCCAGACCGGACCGACCAGTTTAATCTAAACTGGTTAAATCGTTATTAGTGAATCGGTCAGAATCGTTGAACCGTTTGAACTGGATCGGCTGAAAATCGGAAAAAATGGGAAAAAATCAGTATTTTTGTTTTTTTTAAAAAAAAATTAAACCAAACAACGTCGTTTGTTAAACGAGCCAAGTCGAACTCAAGTATTGCTGAGCTCGACTCGAACTTGAAAACTTTAAAAGTAAGCTCAACTCAACTCAAACTCACAAGCTAAAAATTATCAAGTTCAACTCAAACTCGAAATATAATATTGAAACTTGAACTCAAAAAGGCTTGAACTCAAATAAAAATTAGAAGCTCGATTGAAGCCTAAAATTCGAGTTTGATTGAAGTGAAAGAATAGTTCACTCAGTGCTCACCAAAAGGCTCCATGATTTTGAATGTCAAATTACCTCTATTATTTATAGAAGTTAGTTGTGATGTGCTTCTATGTTTCTTAGCAATGTGAGATTGTTTTGTTCTCATATTTTTACTCTTTAGACTTTTGGGATGCTCTTCTATGTTTCTTAGCCATGTGGAATTATTTTTTTTTTAAATAAACCAAACAATATCATTTTGTTATGAATTTTTTAACCCCAAATTTATTTTTTAATTATAGTTATATAATTATATTTATTATTTAATATGTTTTACCTTAAATATTATGTTGTGGTTAATTTGAATCATTTTGTTTCACTTGATTTTATGGTTTTTAACTTATATATATTATGACTTGCTTTGAATATGACTTTTGATATAAAAAATTATTTTTTATTAAATATTTTTGGTATTTTTATTTAATTTTTTAAGTAATTATGACGTCGTCCGGTTCTTCCGACCGGTCGGACCGATTCGACTGGTTGAACCAATGAATCGATAGCATGACCGGTTCGTTAACAGGTCCGGTTCTGAAAACCATGGTAACATATATGCTACACTTATATACGAAATTGAATTTATATTTGGCGCTCCTCAAATCATAACACTGATTTCTCATGGGGGAAGCAGTACTAGTATATACAACGATGTAACGATACATAGTGGGTAGTCGTTATTTTAAAATTTTAAATTATTATATATTTTAATTTTTTTATTAAAATTTTATAAAATCGTCATATTTTTTATTAAAATTTTATAAAATCGTCATTTCTTAAAATTTTAAAAATTAACTATAAAATCCTATATATATCATCTTTGAGTATATATACATATTCCAACTTTTGACAATTAATAAATTTAAATTAAATATATTGCAAGTATAAATATACGTTAGTTGTGTTGATAGCTAAGAGTAAGATGTGTATATGATGAGTATATGTCTAAATTAAAATCAGTGTTAATTTTTAGGGTTACTTTAGTCTACTCGTGTTTCATGATAAAAATAAGATTATGTGATAATGGATTTCGTGATAGAATTGTTTATAGAGATAGGGTCGGGATATCAACTTAAAAAAATAAAGTGTAATTGATAATAGAAAAAATAAAATAAATTAAAATTAGGAGACCTAAATACATATTTATCCCTGTACATTTTTAAAAAATAAAAATGAGACAGGAGTGTACAGATAATGAAGCCTATAACTCAACGTAAACATGACACAATGTGAGTGATATTAGACATGTTAACCAAAATTGCACATTTTTTGCAAATAAAAAAAGACTTCACCTTGGAAATATTGGGCAAGCTAGCCTATATGTAGTCGTAGAAGAGATACTGAGACTTGATGATATTTTTCTTTCCATCACATAATATACGTGATAGCTTCTTATTTGTAATGCCTAATAATCATTATAACAGTCTATAATTAAATCTATAATAATAAAATTCACTATTTTTTTCCACTTAATTCAACTCCATTAAATACTACACCTCCTCCACGGTTGGTGCAGAATTATGGTTCCCCTCACCAATCAAAGAGCGCGTGAGGGAAGAGCATACATTATGGATTTGAAATAGGCATAATATCGAAAACACCCTCCAACATTCATCAAAATGGTCAGTTTGATCCCTATTCATTTTCTTTAGAGTATTTTGACCCTCAGCGTTTTATTTTAGGGCAAAAAATTCCCTCTATAAATGTAAATCATTAGTTAACACACAATTAACATTTTAAAATAAGAGTCTTTTTTTACCTAAAATAAAATATTGAGGGCTAAAATGCCCCCCAAAAAAAGAGATAGTGATTATTTTATCAAATTTTAAGGAACCTTTTTTACCTTAAAATGAAATATTGAGGACCAAAATGCTCTAAAAAGTTGAATAAGGAGCAAAACGACCATTTTAATAAATGTTGGGTGGCTAATTTTGGCATTATACCTTTAGAAGAATCCACAAGATGGGACACACATAAGTAAAGCCCAAAACAAAAATTCGGATTCAAACAAAAGATTTTATAGGTACGGTAATAGAAAAAGAGCCATGAATGTCCCCCAACCATGTAGGCCACATTACATAAAGCCGAAGCCCAATGCCAAAATTTACCAGCCTTTTCCTCCGAACGAAATAATACATGCAACTAAATAGTAGTTTAAAAAATTTACATAATATGATATCAATGGTTAAATAATTATTGTTATTTTTAAGGTTTCAGATTCAAGCACCATGTATACAGAGGTATAAACGTTCAATATCAAATAATTAAACAATTTTAAACATATAATATATTATATTCACATCAAACTAATAAAAATTACATAATCATTTTAAGAGTAAATATAATACATGAACTTAGATTAAAATTATCATTTTGTTGTTCAATTATATATCTGAACTTAGTCTCAAGATTCAATTTGATACTTAAATTGATTTGATCTACTTATTTTATAAAATTAATTTTTTTTTACCAATTTGATAAGTGAATTTGATTTCAATAAATCATTCAATAACTATTATTTTGGATAAAAATAAGTTAAATTCATACCCTAATTTAACCTAAGAAATCTAATTAAAGTAATTAATTGAATAAAAAAGGCTTAAATTCTAATTGTATCTTAATGTAATGTTTCAAGTATCATTTTAAGAACAACAATTAATAGGGTTTTTTTTTTCCTTTTTTTTTTTTTTTGTTTAACTGGCGGCAACACTAATTTACTACCATTAGTACTTTTCATATTGTGGAATTGGCTTAGTGGGTGCTTCTTTTAGCTACCTGCTGGTTAGTTAAAAGTGTTAGGAGCTACTTTTCGAGGTTTGAAGTTTGGACTTTAGACTTGCAATGCTGATAAGAATGTATTGCATGTTCATTATACAGCGCCCATGATACAAAATCTAGAGGGGGCTGGCTTTGCTCCTCAAGCTCATCAATTCAGGCCGTCTGTTTCTGCTCAGCCCTCAAGTGCCAGTGTTAGCAGTTCCGCTGGTAATGCTAAGAGAGACGACTGACGAGGTTGACAATAAGTCGAAGGTTGATGAGCAACCAAACCATTCGGAGGCAAATACTTCGGAAGGGACGGTATCTACCAAACTGACAGGAGCACGAGAAAAATCAGCAGACCCTCTCGGGGATGCTCGAGCCAAGGTCCAAGAAGAGATCAGCCGTGGATTTGCTGCAATTACGGCTGCCGGAACATTACGTGCTAGTGAGGCAGGAAAGTGATGCAGAAATACGGTCCAAAAAGGTTACGATGATTCTTTTCTGTTCTCTTGTGACACAGTAACATCTATCTATTACATATAAAATAGGTAAAAACATAAGAGCACGGTAGATGTGTTATTCTCAATATTAGACAAATTTTAGTTTTGGTCCCTCTGTTATAGTCTTACTTAATATTTCGTCTTTTAATCTAGGATAAATTACATAAATGATGTCCTACTATATGGCGTTATTTTATTGAATCACTTTACTATTAAAAGTTATAAAATAGTCATCCGACTATTCATATATTCTAAATTTATTCATTTTCGTCTAAAAAAATTGACGACTATTTGAGTTGAAAGTTAACTTACTGACTGAGAGACGCTAAATACTCTGGCATACTTCCCGAAAATGTCAAATATTCCGGTCGACTCTCCTTGCACTATTCATTTATCATTCTAAAAAAAATAAAATTTTCAATACCCATATAAACCATTTTTTTCAAACCTTCGTCACGTCAATTTTGCCCATCCAACCATTATTGCTACTTCCTGAATTTAAAATAATTACATAGCTTGAAATTTTAAATATTTTATGGTAAATAACGATAATTAATGTTTTGTTACTAAACCAAACCATTTTAATCAAAATATTGTTTCAACTTATGAAAGGATACAAATTTAATATATTTAAGCACATAATATTCTTTTAATTTATTCAGATCTTAATAAAACAATTGAAACATATATAAAAAAAAGCTGTAAAATATAAAATCAGATTGTGGTCGGTCCCTTAAAAAATTCGATAGTGATTGTTATCGACATGCATTTTTAATTTTAAAGTAAAATGGAAAATGAAATAAAAGTCAAAATGGAGAGTGATCTTCATTAGCTTGTGGTGTTAAACTTGAACATTTCAGATCCTGAACATTAAGTATACAAAATAGCGGCTATGGACATATTCAACCCTGCAAGCTTCATCTTCTCCCTTCAATCACCCTCATAGCTCCAGCACCACAACTGTCCAAAACAATATAAACATTATAAATTATATATATATATGTACATAGTTACATATATATGTGTGTGTGAGGGAAGAGCCTTACATTCAGAGTCTGTAGTTATCCAATTCCCTCTTCTGCTAGAGCAACGATTCAAGCCGTGTATAACAGTTGAATTCAACGAAACCAAGTTGTAGGCTTCACCGTTTCTTGACGAAGAAGTCATCGAAATCCCAGAAATGGTAGAAGAAATAGAGGAGCAACTCTCCGCATCCCATCTAAAACTAATCTTTGGAGACTCACTGATACTGAGTCGTCGACCATCAACCTGGAAAAAAAAAACAAAATTGGAAACGTTCTCATTAATTCAAATTCTAAGCCACAAAAACAACAAAGATCCAACGAAACCCCAAGTTTTCTTTTTCTTCTTCTTTTTTTTTATCTACCTTTTTGCTCATCTTTCCCCTTCCTTTCTCCTTTTTGGCCGAAGCAGCCCATCTCAACAACTCCTTCATATGAGAAATGGGTTTGGACTTTTTGTCTTTCTTCTCGTTGGTCGACGATGATACTGCAACTTGAGCTTCACTCAATGGCGACACTTTGCTCGAATCCGATTTCTGACTAACAACGACGAATCCTTCTTTCTTCATCTTCATGATGGATTGGGAATGGGATTGTTGTTGACGGTGATGTGTTGAACGAGAGCTGTCGACTTTTTTCAAATAAATAGTACTGTAAAAGCAAGCCTTTGCAATATCATTAATGCACAGAAATATAAGTTGCTTAAACTTCTTACTCTTTGATCTTCTATTATTATTCTTAGACGGAACTATATCTTTGGGTTTATCATCTTTATCTGAAAAAAATAAACGAAACAACATATGTTAATCAATAAATCCAGCCATTACAGCAACAAAAAAGACAGCAAAATCTGGTATGATTTTGCCTACCTTTACGAGTGGTATGATTTTGAACTCCTTGTTCATCAGCTGCCTTAAAGAGCCACTGAAAAATCTGGTATAAATTCACAATGAGGGATTTTATATAAGCTTTTCCAGGACAATGCAACTCGATTATGTTATCTGATTCTGAGTTCAAACCTCACCTGCATGTTTTTTGTATTTGATTGGGAAGAAAACTGGGAACTTTATATAATATTTGAATCGAGTGAAAGACAGCAAAAACTTGGTCAAAATAGACAGCTTTAAGAGATCTATCTGGTTCTGTCTGTATGTGTTTTTCAAAGATTCTTTGTTATAGAAAAAGTGAGGCACTTGTGGAGATGAAGACAAAGAAATTTAAGGGTTTTGAGGAAGATGGTGAGAGACAACAAAGCAGATAGTGGGGAAGTGTTGGGTACTTTGGGTTGAGATTTCATAGTAACATGGGGAGGATTATTTATACAAGAAAGGAACATATTGGTTCATGTGAAAGGAGTTTTTTTTGGAGGGGCGATTTAGTTTTATAACAGTATTAATTAAGAACGAGAATGTGTGTGTTGGCATTTGTCTTTGCCATACACTTGTACGACTACATTTCACTGACACTTTCCATTGATTTCGTAAAGATGAATTTAAGATTTTATATTAAGCGAATTAATTTATAAAATTTTAGAGGGATAAAAATAAATTTTCAATCGAAGATAAAAAAATCTAAAATATATAATAATTTAAAAATTTTAAGTGGATGACTGACATTACCCACTCTCCCTCTGTCCATCCTTAATCCACAGTGAAATCGAGGCTTGGTATTTGATCCTTTGGGATGGAGTTAGACAACGAGACAGTTTAAATGTATTTGATTCCATATATGGATATATATTGGACACGAATACATATAAAATATAAACCTTTAGATGAAGGATGATTGTAGGTATAATTTAGGACATTTAAATGCAGGAATGGTATGAGAAGCGTTAATGACAATGGGGATAAAGACAATGACTGGTTTTGTCTGACATGAAAACAATTCGACAGACATTGCCACAAAAGCTCATAATAGTTGGCTGTTTGTGTAAGTATGATAGTAATGCTGTACTAGCAAATTTTGAGGATAATCTCTGAGATGTTGAAGCATGTGTCTCAAGTTTCCTCACCTTTCCTTCTCAACTTCAAAACTCAGGTGAAACGACGTGTCACTGTGCTGTCCATGGCGTAAAAGGTGGCGATGGAATCCCCTGGAATAACGTAGAATATGTTTGTCCCCCCTGTTTTATTCCCTCATTGTATGGGATTGTGAGGTGGAATGTCTGGCCACGTTCGTTTTAAACTCATAACAAAATTAAAACTATTTCTCTCAAAGGGCTGGAAACTAGCAAGAAATATCCATGGCTTACTGTCCGGACTGCATTTAACTCGAGGTCGTTTTCTTTCAAGTTCGACGGAAAAGCACTACTTTCAAGGAACGGAAACATCGGAGAAACACCGTCGTCGGGATATTGGTTCTGTTAGTGAGTGTAGCCTATTAAAGAATGCATAACAGAAGGCAGAAGATGATCTAAAATGTCTTGGTGTTTCCTTGTTATAGAATACCAAAAAAAAAAATTACAAGTGAAATTAGTTTGTAAAATGGAATGATTGGAGGAGGCATATTACAGATAATGTGAAAGAGTATAATATTCTTATTTTATGGGAATATGTTTTTGGTCGGGAGATGGGGAGATGTTACAATACTTTAGACTCTCTCTGCCCACAATTATGTAGATCCTGAAATGCAATAATTATTATTATTATTATTTATGGTGTATTTAACATATTGCAGAATAAATAGACTATTTGCCATGCAGACAAAGAACAGATTCTTGCCATGCAGAAAACTAGCCCATCCAACTCTTATATCCAAAGAAGTTCAAAACTACGTACAACAATACAACTATCTAATCGAGGATTGGAAACAAATAAAGCAGTATATTTTACGAGAGAAGCTCAATATTGTATATATACAATGAAATTTGTTAAAAAAAAATCAGGTATATAAATGTTATATTCTGATAAGTAATAGTGTGGTTTTTTTCTTTTTTAAATGATGAGAAGTTTGTTTAAATTTTTTTAGAGGAGATGATTTTATTAAATAGGTAAATAAGTGTTTCAAAAATAAAAATTTTAAAATAGCAATATTACCTTTTTTGTCCTCATACTTTCAGTAATTGAGATGACTTCATTTAACTCATTATATCAAAATCAATCAACAACTTTAGATATATATATATATATATATAAGGTAAAAATAACAACGTAGCTGGTTATGAAATAAGAGGCCAGGATTATGAACGAAAAATAAGAAATAAGAATGAATTAATGGCAAAAAAGAAGAAGAAGAATTCAATTATATGCATATATATATATATATACACACTATTTTCAACAAAAATCAGGAATAGTAAAGTAGTCGGAAAGATCAATTAATGCTTTCTTTCAGGCCTCACTACTATGACCCCAATTTACTCTGTTACAAAAAGAATAAACAAATGAAGATATACTTATCAACAAATGTTGAAAAGTTTGGAAAATTTTGGCTATCAATGACCAACGCTTTACAGGTGTACCTAATAACAAAATCGGTGCTAGTGTAAAATGATGAGTCGTACCGTAACCTTAGGGGGCCGTTGGTTTCGCCTGATTATTAGCTCCCTTCGGCTTAAGCAACATGGACATGGATCGCAGCCGCTTTGTTATCTCGGTAAATGATGGCCTGGATTCAGGATCATGAGACCAGCACTGTTCCATTAGCTTCCTCCAATCAGGATGGCAACATTCTGGAATAGGAGGTCGAAGCGTGTTCTTCACGATCCCTCCTGCAGTCATAATTCAGTAATCAAACAGAAGGCTTTTGTTTAGCTTTCAGACAGTGAAAAACTGGAAAGGAAAGATGGTTAAGTGCATGCAGTTTTTTATATGGCTTCAATTTATACACGAGTTGTTTGGGATGTTGTTTTATACTATTACAGAGCAAGAGCAAATGTAGTCTTATACCCTAAAACTCACATAAACCTTTTGTGATCTTCATCTTTAACAAAACAACATTTGATTGATCATCAATGCCATAACATGTCAATGACTTTTCCATCATAATCACTAATCAGGGCTATTAGCATATTGGTAAATCAAAATCTTACCAATGATGGCACCGCAATGCATATCAGCATATGGCTCCTCTCCGGTCAAGATTTCCCACATTGAAATTCCAAATGAGAATACATCAACCTGTCAAATTAAATATTCATAAATTTGGCTTTAACGTGTACTCATTTTTCCCTTCACAGTGGCAAGACATATATACTTGAATATGGCTTTACTGACCTTTTCAGAAACCTTGGTGCTGCTACCATTTAGTAGTTCTGGAGCCATCCATGGCAGGGTTCCTCGCACACCTCCAGAAACTAGAGTATTGCGCTTGATTCTTGATAATCCAAAATCTCCGATCTGCAGAAACAACACACGGTAACCATACTTCAAGTTAAGAGCCAATGAAAACCTTTCAGCGACATAAGCCGTCCTAGTTCCTAACATGATAACTTGATAAGTTACAGCATATAGACTAATTTTGAGGGGAACATGAAGGTTTAAGATTATTCTATAATTCTATTTTCTATGCATATGATCACCAATCATCTTGGGCCAAAAATAATTTTGGGGTAAAAAGAATTAAGAATTTTTCTTTCTGGTCATTTATGGTTTATAATATCACGTGAGGCACCTTGAAATCATAATGCCCACAAGAACAGTGTTTGTCTTTAACAGATTGAGTACCTTGCATATGGGTCGTTGTGGGTCCCTTAGATTGACAAGCAAATTCTCACATTTCAGATCAAAATGAACAATGTTTTTGGAATGCAAGTATTCCATGCCAAAAGCAGCACCCATGGCAATTATGAGCCTTTTGTGAATATCAAGTGATCTGTATAAGAATTCCAAAACAGCCAGTAAGTGCATTATTAATGAGTGAAGGAAGATAAAATTGAGAGAGAGAATCAATATTACCTTTCCTTCTTGATTAGGACATTCCTAAGTGATCCATTTACCATATATTCAGTTACAGTTGCCAATGTTCCTCCACTTCCATCTGGTACTACTCCATAAAATGCGACCACATTTGGATGATGCAGATTTGAGAGGATCTGTGCTTCTCTCCAAAAGTCTTGAATCTGGTACAGCCAAACATTTATCAGCTTTGGGTATGCAAATAACTCAAACTGATATGAACATTACTACAAAATTGGTTGAAAGATCTAACAACTACAAAATGCCCAGAGGACTCGAATCTCTCTGTATATTTTCAGTTGTTTCTTTCAAATTTAAGTCAGTTGCCCTAATATTGCTCAATCAACCGCAAATCCCACCCTGGAGGATAGAAAAAGAAGTCATCTTCTACTTTCCTCCCAAGACTATTTAAATTTTGAAGCAATGATGGAAAAAATACAGGCTAACCTTTCTTGATAAAAACATGTGATTAGCAGAACAGTTTAAATATCATAGCTAATCTTTTTTGTAATAAATATCATAGCTGCTAAAAACAACTTTAACTCAAGAACTGACAAGCTTATGAAAATGAAAAAAGCAGATTATAAATCTCCAATTGCAATAAGAACAGGACACTTCAACAGAATTCAAGAAAAGATGGCTGAAAATAGACCAATAGGAAGAAGAGCAAGGTTACACCCCATGAATTTGACTTCCATAACATAACAAAAATACTAATATTTCGCATCCCCTTTATTATTGATTTTTTACTGAAACCCAAAATGCAAGTGCACTACCCAAGCTATCTAACCAGCAAACTATATTCCATTTTTTCCTCTTTAGAATTTCCGACAGCCAAAATTTGTAGAACAGAATAACTAGCACAAATGGAAACACAACAAACTAGCTTCAAGATGAATTGGTATAGTGTTTAATGCAGACATATATCCTCGAATCTGAACCCTAAATCATTATGAAGCTTCTTATGAGATTCAATAACAGCTCTCCTACTTTTAAGATCACAAACTTGAAAGACAAGGGGAGAAAAGAAAGAAAAATATCTCTGGAGACCAACCTGTCGGTCTTTTTCTGATGATCTCCCAGAAAAGCAACTCTTTTTTATTCTCTTTATAGCAACATCTGTTCCCCGCCATTTTCCATGATAAACAGTACCATATGTACCAGATCCTAGCTCCCTCAGATCTTCGAGATCAGCATCTTTTATAACCTGTACACCAAAGTTTAAATTTCCTTCAGAAGCTAATTTTACAACCGATGATTAAAGCCAAACGGGGGAGGGACTAACAAGGGGCAGATAATTTGTTCACCAGACTTCAATGGAAAAAAAAGAGAGAAGAAAGCTATCATGGCAAGGACAGGAGATGGAAAAAAGAAAAAAAAAGGACAAGCTCAGTAAAGAAGATCAAATCACAAACTTATGCATAAGTTATTTGCATGTTATCCATGTTTAAAAGCGTGAGGATACCATAATCATATACATAATTGGAATTTCAATATGGATTAACTAAACGCAATCTTATTCAAATAAAACAAAAAGTATGTTTTCTCAACTAACAAACAGGGGAACTAAATATTTCAGTTGAAAATTTAACGGTGAATCTTTCACCAAACTAGACTGCATGAACTAGTCATCTATCATACAAGAAATTTTTATTGAAAACAGGTATAAATCAGTTCGATACGGAACCTGCAAGCCATAGATGCTGGCTTCCATTTCAGCTATCATGGCATCACTGAAGGGATCATCCTTGTCTTGATCATCATCTGTAGCAGCCTATGGACAAAACAATTAAGTTAATTAGCATCTAAACAAGTTAGGTGTACACGACCTTTAACTCGCCTTACCTTAGACTCGGGTTCTGGAATGACATCCACCAAATCTGTAGCAATAGAAGATACAGTATCATTGTCAGTCACATCCACAGGTGGGACCATTTCAGATGAACCTTCAATACCAGAAGGCACACTTGTGATCGCATCATCCAAAATAACTAAGGGGTCTGGCTGGATTTGATATCGATTCACACTTGAGGTTTCTGTCTGACCAAATGTAAACTCTACTACAATTGAATTTTCATGCACAGATCCAGTGGCAACCATCTTTCCAGCATTCTGATTGGGATAATTAAGGTCATCATCAATGAGAGAAACCTGTCTCCTATAAGAAGCATCCTTTTCTGGATTCTGTAACATAGAATGAAGGTCATTCTTGTGCAAGTTTGAGCTCAGACCAGAGACAACATGAACAGCAGATAGGTGCAAAATGGTTGAGCTCGACAGCATATCTTCTTTAGATATATCCTTTTGACTTGCTACACACTCCACTTGTTGTGGTTCAAGCAACATTGGGCCATTCAATGACACAGATATAAGATCACCCACCGAGCTCTCACCTCTTATGTTTTCCACGTTCTTGGGAAATATGCATGTGACTTTAGGGTTGTCAGTGCATGAAGTAGTGCTCCCTTGTCCAGCAGTTACTTTCCCACTGAAATCACAACATTCAATTGTACCATATGTGGCTTTTTCCAAGGTCTGTGGATGCTCTATGTTATCCATTATATCCAAGGATGAAGGCCGGGAGACCTGTGAATCTTCTTTCCAAGTATCAATAGCAGCACCAAATGTTTGATTGCAGTCTGTATTAGACAATTTGTCGTTGTATACCATATTGCTGTCAGGGGATCTCCACTCATAAAGCTTTCCACCTTGATGCAAAACTGGATCAACTTTACCAGACCAGTTACTGGCATCCAAACTTGTAGCATATTCATCATAATTATCAGGTGTCGTGAAAATGGTTTTACTCAGATTAATTTTAGCTGTTTGGCACTTGTCATTGCTATCACCAGCACCCTTGTGAATAGTTTTATTCCTGCATGAAGCTTCAGGATTTGGAGAAAGTATCAGCAACTCCAGTGTTGACTCCGATGTAGGATCACTATCTAACAAATCATTTTGTGCCCTGGACTTCAGTAGACCAATATTATCTTGTTGTTGCATCAACCTTTCCTGCACTAAATTTGAAGGTGGTCGAGTAGTTGCAAAATTTAAAGGGGGAGATGGACTAGTTCCTTCTTGTGAACAGTAATCGAACCTTCCTCCAAGCTCCAGCAGCTTTGTATCTGAAAATGCATGTATCATGCCTGGGTGAGAGTCCATGGGATCAACAGATGCTGACAACAGAGTCAATGGGTCAGCAGCAAGTGAGATAGGCCTCTCATGTGACACACCATAACAAACACTATTATTTTTAGTTAAAACTGAAAGAGACGCAGGATTTTTGCTGGGATCAGGGTTTTGTATTTGTAACAGCACTTTATGTGCTTGGAAGGCTTGACTGGCGTCAACCTTTACGTAGGGAAGATTATAATTCATCAAAGCAGGTGGAAACTGTTGAACTTGCTTATAGTTAGGATTTTCTATGCCACAGTTCTCAGGATTTAATTGAGCTGTAATGAAGGAACTGTTGCTTTCATTGCAGGATTTACCACCAACTGCTTGTGCACAAACACTCTTAGAATCTCCATGCTGGAAAGGTTGCGGAGAAATAGGCGGAGATAAAAATGGGGATCTGGTTGTATATTGGGAATCATGGAAAACTTGAGAGGGATGGAATGCATTAAGACAACCTATAGTCTCCAAAGGGAGTATTGAAGTTGGACAGTGTTTTCGAAAACTAGGGTTATGATCCAAAGCAGGTCCTGGTTGACTTCCTTCGCTGGGTAAACACTGCCCACCATAATTTTTCTTAGGACTATGATCTACTACCCCATTGACAGCTACCATGTAATGGTAATCAGGATTGCTCTGCTGAATGGTGCTAGCCTCAAGGGAAGATGCACTTTCAGGCTCTCCCAAGGGAATCAAAAATATCCTCAGTCTTTGAGAACCCACAAGCTTTTCAAGCCCGTTGTACTCCTCTATCATATTCTGAAGGTCTTCATCAGAAGAAACAGATATAAGGGCATCAAGATCCTCACCTGGAAGTTGGTACTTGATTGCATGAGGTTGGTTGAAAACATCTAGCGTTTTCCTCACAAGCTCATCCCAAGAAAGACATTTCTGAAAGGTAATTATCCGTGTCTCTCCCCCAACATATCTGAGTTTGCCATCACTTGGCCTGGGCAATATTTTTCCACCAAAGCTACAGAGAAGTTTCATTTTCTCAGATTGAGATCCATCAGAAGCTCCCTGCCCACTTAAGTTGCTGGACCTAGGAAAGTCACATCCATAAGTGGGTGTGGTAGCTGGTGCAAAAACATTAAGATCGCTCCTATCGCAGCTCAATTCACCAAAAGCTTTCCTTTCCACTTTCCCCATATCACCATCTTCCTTCTGGTATTTACTTAATTTTTCAACACAAGACCCATTTTCACTCCCTCTACAAGACCCTTGCACAGAAGCAACATCAGAAATATCAGAAACACACTCCGAATTCATTCTTTGCAACCCAAGAATTTGGGCTAGGTCCTCATACACCAGCTGTTGGTTCTGGTTCTGATTGATCCCAACTCTCGTCTCATATATCTGAGCTGCTTCTGGTATAGCAGGAATCCCTCTTGTGCCAACACACTCCTTAAGAAACTCCATAGCGAATTCCTCCCCTGTCTGTACAGAGATATTATTATTATGTGCATTTTTTCTTGCACAAGGAGCAACAGATGCATATTCTTGCTGAATCAATTTATCAAATGCGATAGGCGCCTCCCTGATCATGTTCCACAAACAAGCTCCTGTGTCTATTTACTTGCATGAACAATGTGTTAGCTCCTTGAGCCACTCTTTTCCACTTCAACCCACCAATTGATAATTCATAATCACGCTATTCTCATATCAACTAACACTCACAACCTCTCATTCAAAATCTACTATTCCCCTATGCATACAAAGGCTAACTCAATCAAATCCAACACTTATGTCACTGCTTCCACTTTTACAAAAATTAGGTACAATTTATTCACAAGATATTAGCATATCTCGATCCAAAGCCAAATTTTAGTTACAATTCTAAGAATACAAATGCCTCTCTCTTCTGCAGATTCCAGAACCAATTAGATCACCATAGATCCAAACGAAGAATATGCAAACCAATCTAAAAAGAAAAACAAAAGAATCAAATCTTATGTCTCATGATCGTCGCTCAGGATTATGTATACCGAAACCTAGAAAAAGGAAAAAGAAAAACAAATAAAAAAAAAATCATAATCAGCAAAGCGTCAAACCATGTCGATCAAAATTTTAAAATAAAAACGAAATCAGACAAAATAGAGGAAGAAAACAGTACCTGATTATTGATCTGCTTTATAAAATCCATGTCTGAGTCCTTGATCTGACAATCTTTTTAGATTGGAGCGAGAGAGGCAAACATTAACAAGAAAAAGGAAAAAAAAGAAAAAGAAAAGAGAGAAAAAATGAAGAAATTTTTTGATAAAGACAAGAAATTGGAAATGGTGGAGAAGAGAGCAAGGCTTACGGCTGCAGCTGGTAACAATCTCGATTCTCGAGCCTGCGAGACCTGACATTGCCGATAATTAAGCTCTGCGTTAAAATTATTATTAAAATAAATAAATACTAATGGGTTACAATATTATTTTCTTTTAACCTTTTTCAGTTTTAAGTAACTGTAACGGTTTTCTTCTATAATAAAATATTATTTTTATATCCTACGTGGAGTTATGGTATTCGGATTTTGGTAAAGTTTGCTTTCCTTTCGCCTTCAGTCGTTCACCCTCCCAAACTTTTTGAATTTTTATCTTAAAGTTTATTATTTCTTTATTCACTTTCGAGCATGCTTTTTCATTGGTTTGATTACTTTGGATAGTAATGTGTGATTATATAATATATATGTTCGAATTTGACATTGGCAGATATATATTTTATAATAAATTTTAAGGTAAATTATGTATTTAAATATCTGAATTTGTTTTTTTTCGATTTTAAAATTTTATTTTAATTAATTCAGATCGATCCATATTATCTATCTTATTTTGGCGGGTGAGTCTCTCGGTGAAAATTTTCTGCATATATAAGGTTTCAAACTCAAGAACTATTTAAGCGATATCAAGCTGCTTACCATTTAAATAAACCTGGTTGGTTAATATCTGATTATTTTTACATTTTTGTTTTAATTACCTACTTATTTTAAAAAAAAAAATCATATATGAAATTATGTTTTAGTTTTATTTTACTCACTCATCATTAAAAAATAGGTAAAATACATAAATGACCCTCTAAGATGTTTTAGTTATAAAATAACCCCCGACTTACTATTAAAATCTATATGATTATTTGACAATTCATATTTTCTAAACTCGTCATTTTTTTATTCAAGATTTGACAGTCGTCTGAGTTAGACGTTAACATGTTGACTGAGATATGATAAAATTTAATCGAATGATTCCTCAATTAAATTTTATCATATCTTAACAGCAGCTTATCGTCTAGTTCAGACAAACGTCATTTTTTTAACAAAAAATTATGAGTTTGAAACATATGAGTAGTCGGATGATCATTTTATAACATTTATTAGTCAAGAGACTCAATTAAGTAACATTATATAATCGATGAACTATTTTATAACTTTTAATAATCGAAGAACTCAATGAAACAACCGTGAAATCATAATCATTGGTATACTCTAGAAAAATTAATACACACTAATTCTTTGTTGCAAAGATTTTAATCGTATCAGTGGTCTCAACTGTTATCAGTAAACCAAGCCCTTCATAAGTTTAGTTTAGAGTGTTATTTAGGGTAAACTACGTAAACGGTTATTAATTTTCGAATAATTTTTCACTTTCTTCACTAAAATTTCACAAAGTAATAAATTAACTGTTAATATTATCGATGTATAACATATTAGTCACTCATATTTAACCTTCGTTATTACACTAATTAAATATTAATGTGAGATTATTTTTTTCATACATTTAACTTTCTAAAGCTTTTTGACATGCGTTTTGACCTTTACAAAAAATTAACTGGCGTTTAAGAAAAAATTACGAGACGTAAGAAAAAACTGACATTAAATTTGTCTAGATAATAATTAAAGCTTCATCTGCGTTCTTCTTCTTTTCTCTGCCATTGCTCTTCTTCTCTTCCACCGGCGTTTTGACGCTAAATTTTTCCAAAGCTTTTGACCGGCGTTTAAGGAAAAAAATTGAAGCTTCTTCTCCATTCTTCTTCTCTAATTAAAAACCAGGGGAGCCACAACTCTTGGAGGAATTGTTACGAGAGGTAAGAGAGAAGACGTGTACGAAACAAAAGGCGGCGGGAAGCTGCCATGGGAAATGGTCCCATCAAAATCCAAAATCGTGAGCCTTGAAAAGTTTATTTGCTCTTCACTTGATTTCATCTTTGCCTTTGCATCATTCGACTTTTCCTCTGCTGTTGAATATAAGTAACAACTAACAACTTGGTTGAACTCTATTTCTCTCATAATCATTAGCTGAGTTCGATCCCAGATTCTTTTGACAACTTACCAGATCTTGAACGCATAAATTTCATGGGAAATCATCTGGAAGGTGAAATAGCAAAATTATTGGGAAATCTTTGCAGTTTAAAATAATTATACTTGGGGGATAATAAGCTCAGTGGAGCAGTGGAGCTCTCACCGTGGATGTGTGGATGATGTTGGATATATGAACTGCAAAATTATACAGTTAGTATTGACTGGAAATATAAACAGTAATTAAAAGGAATAGATTCGTAAACCGTGTCGTGGTATAACCACTGCCTTAGAAACGAATTCGTCCCGATGTGTGTAATTATTGCAGTAGACGGACCGTCCCCCGAGATTAACACGATCGCTCTAAATTCCGTACATCCGAAATCGGTGTGGACTGTCGGTGGTATTGCTTTTCTTATCGGAAAGCACACAGAGAGAATGTTTAGAAAACACTTGGAGAGTGAATTCTGAATGTTGATAGTGAGTTGAGAAGCTGAATATAACCCTCTATTTATAGGTTAGAAATAGAGTTAAAATCGTCCATAAAATTTCAGGATTAAATCTCTTCTTTTGTAATAGCTGAAAAGTCTAGATGAACATGACTAAAAAATAGTCCAGGTTTATTGCATCATTATTTAGCTGTTATAACTTCCGAAATTATATCATGTAACCCATGAAATTAAATCAAATAACTCCTGTAACTCCTGATATTAACAGTTTGTCTCCTTGTACAAAGCTGGAAATCAGTCCAGATACATATTAACGTTTTTTATTTAATTTAGGAAAAGTTGTTTAATTTCTGATAGCTCTCATAAACCAGTTGTTATCATTTGAATTTAAAGTCCTCAGCAACCTATAAATATCAGTTGAAATCTTTCATATTTTTCCATTTGTTTCTTTCAAAGAGAAATTCTTTAAGAATTTTCTCTAAAAAGATAGTATCCGCGCGGACGTGTCGAAGAAGGGCCGTGCCGAGACGGCAACGGCGGCGGTGCATGAGAGTCTCCCTTGTTCTCTTTCACTCAGTGAATAATCCAAATCAAAAATACCCATTCCATTAATATTTTCAATACTATGTGTGATTGAGTATCACCAACAGAGGATTCTCTTTAGATTCTGACGCCGGGTATTAATCGATTCAATGGTTCCTTGCCCCAGTTTCGTAGCATTTTCATCTTTGAGAAAACTAGATGTTGAATATAAACCGACTGAGCGACAATTTCGAAGATAACTTTGGAAACTTTTCAAGGTTCACAATTTTGGATTTTGATGGGATCATTCCCCAATCTTTCTAAGTAAAGAGGTAAGAGAAAAGAAGAAGAACGAGAAAGAAGAGAATCAAAATAATTAACGTGCCATGGGGATGAACTGAGGGAAGGTAATAAAAGGCGGTTGGAAGCTATCATGGTTTTTAGGTAGATAGGTAAGAGAGTAGAAGAAGAGATATTTTTTGTCAATTTTTTTTCATAACACCTGTCAAAAGTTTTTGAAAAGTTAAATTTATAGTAAATTGGAATAAGGGTCAACTAATATTATTAATTTGTTATAAATCGATAATATTAATAATTAATTTATTACTTTTAAAACTTGAATAGAGAAAATAAAAATTTATACCTTATTATTTATTTATTATACGAAAATGTCTTGCTCCTTCCTTTTTGTAGTGCTTCTTAGAATCTACATCTGCTTGCCCACGTCCTCCTCGCATTCCAATTAGAAAATAAAAAGTTTAATGAAAAAAAATGAATATCCAAACTATAATCTTTGTTAATTTAAGATATTTAAAGAATTTTTATTTAAGGTATTATTTAATCTTTTCAATGTTATTCTTTTAACCATTTACATTATGATGATCTTTTAAAAAATTATTATCTAGCATATGTTATGCTTATACTTTTTTTTTAAATATTTGAAAACAACATTTAAAATTATTATTTAAAAAACTTACATTTTTTCCTAAATTAAAAAAAACACTCCAAAATCTTAAATAATCTAATTTCAATCCTCTTATCATCGGTTAGGTGAAGCGACGATTGAAGCGACGATTCCAACAATTGAAGCGACGATTCCTCTCACTGTGTGTTGAAATCCGATTAGGTGAAGTAACTGACGACAAAGGTGAAGGGATATAAAATTAGAATTTTATTGAGTTTTAGTTTTTTTAGATTAAGAACATTTTGATTTTTCAAAAAATAAATTATAATTTTAAGTTTTTTATTTTAAAATGAAAATTTTAAAATTAGATATGATACGTGTCAAATAATATATTTACTAATGACCATACACTTACAAAATAACATTGGTTACTCACCTATTAAGCGAAAAATTCTTAAAATATAAAAACTATAATTTGAATATTTATTTTTTCAACAAGCCAAAGGAAAAATGGAAGAATGATAAATAATTGGGCCAATGCCCACTTTCTCATCGCTTTACTAGGCCTGAAAATGACGACACGTCATTTCTCTTACTTTACGCGGGCCAGACCTTATCTAACCTTTTATTAATGCGACAATTAAATCGATTCAAATTATTAAATTAATAAAAATTCAAAATTAATTATACATAGACCGAAAAATATTAATTAATTTATAACATGAAATGTATCTTCTAGGTACCCTATATTACACGGATCGTACCAATTTACTCGTATCGTTAAATAAAATGAAATATGGGATAAAATATTCTAAAAACAATAAATAAGAGTTAAAATAATTATTTATCAAACAATATAAAAAAAATTATATTAAAATAAAATGTTTAGAGATCAAAATACGCTAAAAGAATAATAGAGCAAAAATAGTTATTTTAATAACATAAGGGGTTAATTTTAGTACGATGCGGTAACAAAAGTTGTAGGTGTTGGAACTTTATAAAAAAGTGAATTTCAATATAAAAAAATGTCTAAACTATATTCATTTTCTTATTTAAGTAGCTAAACTTTTTTTTTTGATTAATATGAGTGTTCAATGTTATAAAATTATCATTTAAGTGATTGGTTTGAAATAATAGTTAAAAAAATTATATTATTTGACACATGTCACATTTATAGAGTTTTAAAATTTAATTTAAAATAAAACCTTAAAAATATATAATTAAAA